AAAAAAAAAAAAAGAAAGAAAGAAAAAGTCTTCAACATTTTGTTTTCCTACTTTCCCTTCTTTCTCCTCTTTCTTTCCCTCCGACCTATGCAGTCCTCTCCCTCAGCCTCCCTAAGTGCTAGAACTGCACTGGTTGATCAGCTGCTCAACTCTTTAATTGGCCCCACAAATTCTTTTTTTTTTTATTTTAATTTTATTCTCAAGGTGATGTGTAGAGGGGTTACAGTACATAAGGTAGTGAGTACATTTCTTGTCTAACTTGTTACCCCCGCCCTCATTTTTCTTCCTCTATCCCTCCCACCATCCCCCCTCACACACCCTCACCTCCACCCCCGCAAAGGCCCCACATCTTATGCAGGAGGGTGGGAAGCTGGGTACTTCATTCCCGCCCTGGACTGCTACCAAGGGTCCTGTCCTGCTAGCATCCTGGTCTGGAACCAGCCCAGTCTAGATAAAGGCAGCCCCTGAACCTAGGGTGATGCTGTCTTTTTAATTGTTCCAACAGGTGACGGCTACCCATGGACTTTGTCATCTGCTGGGCTTCACACATCATTCAAAGGCAGAGTGGCAGAAGGTATGAACATGCCCTAAGGAAGCGGGCGTGTGCTTCCGCCCAAGGCACCCAGGCTGATGCCCAGCCCCTCCTCACCCCATGGCCAGAGACAGGAACCCAGGCAGCTGACCTTCCCTTTATGAAAGGCTCACAGATGTTTGTTTCAAGTATTGGTATCCCAAATACATTTCATTGTATTAGAAATTGTTGTGGGAAGACAGGATCATAGCTCCTCAGAAGCTAAAAGAATCATGGTTAGGACCAATTGGGGCAGAAAAATCGGTCAGATTCCATGTCCCAAAGAACCAGCAGAAAGCCAAGCTGAAGGCACAACTCAAGTGATTACAGAGCCAACCAAACAAAGCTCTTGGTCCAGAATCCTGCAGGGTACCAGAAAAAAAAGGCAGTCCCGGGCAACACTGAGCGGCAAATTCTGCCCTAGTATTGATGAGAAGAGGAGCAAACGGTTTTTTCTTTAGTGCCTGCCCTCAGGCACCATTCCTGAGCTTGTTGCACAAGGCTAGCAATGTACTACTTGAGCCATAGTTCCACTTCTGGCCTTTCTTTTTCTTTTCTTTTCTTTTTTTTTTTTTTT